TGGCCCGAGATCAAAGATAATTTTTTACTGCTCCATCATTTACTTCCTGTAAATTTGGTTTCTTTGTAGTCATATGTGACAGCTACATTTAAAAAAAACAAATTCTATGAAGAAATTTTGCTGTTCAGAAAATATTGACTCAGTTCTCTTTCTATCAGTATCAACAATTATATTGCCATTGATTTGAGAAGAAGTAATGTTCTGTGTGATTACACAGGTATGGCACCTCTTCATATTTCTTCAGCAATTTTCATTTGAGGCAAATTTTTCAACCGTCATTAAGGAACTTCAACATAGAACTCCACCTAATTTTGTCTGATTAGAAAGCTAATGCTCTGTTCATTAGAGCTGAGATTATTGTCTTCAAGATGCCAGCATACAAGTGTCTCAAGATAGTTTCTCCTTTCAGTTTTCAAGGTGAAGCTCTTTTTACTGTCTGCATTATTAAGCACAATAAAAAAAACAGCTTCCTAATTGCCTCTAAATTTTCATTAAGCTGGTAAATGGAATGATTTTATTCTTGGTAAGTATATTCATGGAACCATAGGTTCAGCTATAAATCTTCAGAAACAATATTATTTGCTTATTTACACTGACAGATTTTGATGCATGTAAGTATAAACAAAAAGGTAATCCATTTCTCAACATTATTTCACAGAATCACAGAATATTCTCAGTTGGAAGGGATCCACCAGGATCATTGAGTCCAGCTCCTGGCTCTGCACTGGACACCTCAAAATTCACACCGTGTGCCACAGAGCATTGTCCATAACTGCTGCTGTGACCACTTCCCTGGGGAGCCTGTTCCAGTACCCACCCTTTCTCTGGGTGTAGAAGTGTACTACCTCTTTCTATTCTCCAACCTAAACCTGCCCAACACAACTTCATGCTGCTCCATTGGGTCCTGTCAGTGTCACCCTGGAGCAGAGATCAGTGCCTGTCCTTTTGCTTCCCCTCACAAGGAAGCTGTACCTGCAGTGAGATCTCCCCTCAGTCTCCTCTCCTCCAGGCTGAACAGACCAAACGATCTCAGCCACTCCTCACACAGACTCCCCCTCCAGACCCTTCATCATCCTCATGCCCCTCCTTTGGACACTCTGACAGGTTCTTGACTTTTTTTATGTTGTGGCACCCCAAATTGCCCCCAGCACTCGAGGTGAGGCTGGCCCAGTGCAGAGCAGAGCAGGAAAATCCCCTCCCTTGCTTGGCTAGTGATTCTGTCCCTGATGCCCCTGGGACAGGGTTGGCCCTCCTGGCTGCCAGGGCACTGCTGCCTCCTGTTCAACTTGCCATTGACCAGGAGTCCCACGCGCCTTCCCACAGCGCTGTTCCTCAGCCTCTTCTTTCCCAGTCTATACACACAACCAGAATCACCAGGTGCAAGAATCTTTCACTTGTTCTTGTTAAACTTCATATGGTTTGTGGATGCCCAGCCACTCGTTTCCTGAGGATTTTCACATGTTCTTTCTTCCTTTCAGAAAGTCAGAAGCTCTTCCTATCTTTGTTTTATTGGCAAACTTGCTCCATATCCCTTCCAGTCCTGTGTCTGAGTTTGGAAAGATGTTGAGGAGCATAGGGCTGAGGATGGAGCCCTGTGGAACCCACCAGTGACAGGCCACCAGCTTGATGTCACCCCAGTCACTGTAACCCTTTGTGTCACACCCTTGAGCCAGTTGCTCACTCATGGCATGATGTATTTGTCAATCGCCCAGCTGTGAGCTGGACATTTTGTCCAGGAGGATACCATGAGAGACAGCACAGAAAACTTTGCTGAAACCCAGAAAAATTCAACCAGCTAGCTTCCTTTGATCAACTAGGTGAGTTATTTCAAAGGACTATGTGTTTAGAAGATAGTAGCTTGCTGTAAAAAATTTTGAATACCATTTTCTTAGCTTACAGAATGAAGTGCACATTGCAAAATGTACTAGAATTTATATTAAAATTATATCAACTTCAAACTCCCTAACTTGTTATTGTTAGAACAGCTGGCACTCAAATTATGTGATGATATAGAATATTCCACTTGAAGAAGAAAAACACACAACTCTTGTGTTGATTTAAATAAAAATCCATAATCATAATCAACAAGTGCATTTGTGCTCTAAATGTAGTTTTAGGGCCCTGACTTACAGCACTGAAGTTGATGGAGTTTTGGTCATTCTGGTTAGCGTGATCAGGATCACTCAAAGACATTGTTCTGTCATATTTACATGAAGTTCATTAAATTTTTCAAAATTTTTAGCTCAAGTATCAAACCTGTAGCTAAGCTGAGTAATCAGGAAGATACCTAAACTTCCAGAGTGAAAACTGACTTACTAGTTTTAGTGAGGAAAACCCAAATTTGTATAAGGATAAAAATTACTATTTTTCTTATTCAGGAACAATTTCTGCTTTTCCCAGTCCCTAACTGAAAGTGTTTCCAATGTGCATGATTCTTAATTAGTTCAGTTTCCCTGGTAACTGCTGGGAGAATAGAGACCATTGTTATCCTATGGTTGTGTACAGTAGTTCCCATTGTGGGAAGATAGGAAGAAATGGGACTGACCTTCAAGAAAACCAGTAAACAATTACTCAAGTGGAAATTTCAAACTGTTATGTAGAGGTGAAATGCTGCAGATGATGTTACTTCACCCTCACTTTTGAGTTTTCCCTAAATAAGTGATTAACAGAAGAAGATGATTGTACTTTCAACTTATACTTCAGAGATCATATTTTCTTAAATAAAACATTATTGTCATTAAAAATTAAAGTTCATTTCCCTTTTCAGAATATGGACATTAGTACTCTAAAAAGTACAGGAAGATTAAATAAACCAATACTTTAGTTTAATTATTTACACTTACTTGAGGTAAGTAAGCTGGGTAGTTTGTTTCCCAAAATTTAGGAAGGGCTTTCTAAAAGAATTTTAAAGGTTGCAAGGTTAACAATAAGTAGTCATGGAACAACTGAGGACTAAAACAGAAGTGCAGGCAACAAAGTTAAGTGGTAGTAGTCCAGAGGGAAAATAAATGGACACAATAAGGATTCTGAATGACAGAATTTTTGGGGGACTTTTGGGTCACTTTTATGTTTCAGAAGCATCATTAAAGCTCAGACATGAGTGATACTAGGGATGTGAGAGATCAGAACCTTAATTTCTGAGGTATTTATTAGTAAAAACCTTATTAGCAACCAGAAAAAACAATCAAGATTAAACAATGACAAACTTTACTTAACTGGAATAGTCATGTACAAAGAGCACATATCTAGACCTCTCTTATATAATATAGAATTATCAAGTGAATTGCCCATCACTGCAAGTAAAAATTTACATTTTTTTTTAAAAATTAGTGTGAATTTTACTTTCTTTACAGATTTAATGAGAAACTACATTAAGTTAAGCTGGCTGGCTTTTGAATTGAGGGTTGTCAGGAATATATCTACTGCAAAGGTTTATATTTTCTTTGACATCCTAGCTTGATTTGCACTTGAAGCAAAACTTCTCATTAAGAAGAGAGTGACACCTTCTGTTCATGTTTTCACAAAATTGTATTCTGAATAGTAAAATCATTTCTAGCAAAATTCTCCCTGCAGCTTGTGATGCAAGCTACAATCATCTCTGTTCACATATTAAAGAATTCTAAGGAGCATTACTTCACTTGCTTACATTATCATGTTTCACCCCAAAGGTGATGTCATTCATGGCCAGTGAACTTATTCTTGCCTAGTTGTAACAGGAAAAAGTACCTTCTGGTTTAGACCTGTTTGAGAAAAGTTATAAATGCACCTCTCAACTGCCACAGATAAAGATTAAATGGCTGATGAAAGCTCCTGCAATTAAGATTGGGTTGACTTTCTGCTTTAAAATCCACTATGAAGTGTGTAATATTTCAACACTTTAAAATAGCCTGGAGTTGTGAACAATACAGTACATTCTCTCTCTTTTTCTATTTTTTTAATTTATTTTCTTTTTCTTTTTACATGATTTTTCACTTTTCTTTTCTAAACCAAATGTACCGATTTCTATCTCCACCTATGGAGTTGAGAATAATATTTTCCAGTTTAGGACTTATATCTAGGAGGGAACATTTTCAAGCTGCTAATAACTGGAACAATTTCACTATGTTAAAAAAATCATATTGTGTGTACATTTAGAAAATCTTTATTGAGCATGCAGAGTAATTAATTTTCATAACCTCATTTGTTATGACATTGATTTCATCATTTAACTTCAAGGGATGTTGTCTCCCATCCCACAAACCTATACATGTCTGTGAAGGTGTACTATGATGCCAGTACATAGCAGAAGGAAAATCTGCCATCTTCATTTCCATAGTACCTCTCATGCCAAAATAACTTCAAAACATTGTAAATAATCCAGTCAAGAAAAACATAAATTTATGTCCTGCAGTAAAATATAGTATTTTAAATGGTTGTTCTTTTGCTATATATGATGTTATATTTAATGTTTTAAATGTGATGACATGATGAAAGTGGTGAACCTTTATGGTCAAAATTAATTATCTTGCTTCAGTTAAAAAAATTGTGAGTATACACCAATGGAACACAGAAGAATTTGGGAGCCGAAATTTTCCTTCCCTCAGCTCATAGTCTTCCAGGCTCCTTTTTGAGTGACTGCCTCATGTGAGTTTTTGAGTGAGTTTTTTCCTCAAGGTAGAATTATTGTAAAGAAGAACAAGAAAATGTTTCAAACAAATTATATAATCAGTTAAACTCCACTAAAATATCTTTAAAACTTAATTTAAAGAAGAAAAATTTCTTTAGAAAAATAAGATCAGGCATTTTCCAAGTAAGAGTTTTCCTTTTGCCTCTTGTTACAAGAAACCACATTTTTTCATAAACTACTGTTTTACATCAACAGTAATAATTCCTTCAAGAGCAAACACATCAAAGAATTAAGCAAGTGCTGGCAGTGTTAGCAGGGGACACAGGGCAGAGCAGTGAAATCAGCAGTGATGAGGACAGATGTTCTTCATGACTCTGCTGCCCAGCTTGGTCCCCTGAGCTGTGTGACCATCATATTTCAGCCACATTTGGTGTGCTGGCTCAGCCTTTTCTGCACCCTTTATGCAAAGCAGAAAAAAAGTAAGTGAGCTGGTTGCTTCAAAACTAAAAAAAAACAACTAATAAAGATGCATTTTTAATTGATTTAATTGATTTTCTGATGTATATTTAAGTAATATATATAACCAATATGTAATTAGATAGTATGATATATTATGACATCATGATAATATGATAGTAGAATAGTGTTGTAGGAAGAAATTTTTTAAAGAAAGAACACCTTAAAGGAATGGCATTTGGACATGTGAAAATCAGGATGGTGAGGGGAATTAAAACTTTATGAAAAAAACTTTTTCATGAAAAAAACTTTTTTATGAAAACTTTCTAACTTTGTCCCTGGAAATAAACAGAGTCATCCCCAAAGGGATCAGCTAAATTCTCAGGTCAGATACTCAAATTATGAAAGGTAAGAAGTCCTACATGGTATCTCTTTTCCTGTTTAGTGTTATTAGTTGGGTTTTCTACCATGCGAAATCTTCACCATCACTCTAAATAATGAGCAAAAGTACATTAAAATAAATACATGTATCAAAAAGAGTACAGTCATATTCCAGTACAAGGAAATGAAATACATAAGGTTGGTGCAAGTAAAGGGACCACAAAGTGACAGTTAACTAAGATACATAAATTATCTATAGAACTGCTGATGAAAATGAGCAAAATATGGTTATTATAAATGTCATGAGAAAAGATATAGAGAAAAATTGTGAAAGGAAGTTATTTAGTTGCTTTGTCACATTTCCATTCTCAAGGACAAGAGGAGACACAGCAAACACCTGAAAGGCATAAATGCTTGTTGGGAAAAAAAAACACTGTAAATGTTGCTGAAGTGAAGACAGAAATCACCTTTCCTATACATCTGTAATCCAGTGAAGGAGGACAGGTGCTAGTAATAGAACTTCTAGAGACAGGCAGCAGTTATGTTTACTGCATTAATTAAAAATTGAATTAATATTACATGAGAATTGTGTCTTTTTTTCATTTTTCACTTTGAATAAAACAACAGCACTGAATAGCTACATAATTCTACAGAAAATGTTTTCCTGAACACCTTCAAGGTATATCCTCTTCATTTGTGAATAGTAAAATACAATATAAGTTAAATATTGCTACTTAGATGACTACGTCAAATGATCACCATAGGTAAAAAGCCCAAATACAAAGAAATAAAAATATCATTAGTTTTTATTTTCTTTTATTGGAAAATGTTTAGTAGCAGAAATAAAAGTCATGCACTTGAAAAACATGAGTTTTCATCCTGGTGGTGACCCCTATGCTCTTTGTCTTCGCTAGTATCACAAACATACAAAGGTTGTGTTATACAATGTAAATGCAAAACAGTTTGTTGGAACAAGAGCTGCTCTTGAAAGCCATGCTAGCCTCCTTAGGGTCTACCTCTATTTCCTTTAAGTGCACAGAAGATTTTTACTAACAGTATTGGATTTTGAGTCAGACCCCTTGTTGTTCTGAACAGCTCATCAAGCTAATGCATCAAATACACACCTTAACTAACAGACAGAACACACAGAAATTTTATTTGAAATGTTATTTGAAATTGAATACACCCAAAACACACATGAAAAGGAGGCAGACAAATTGGGAGCTCCTTCCAATTCCCATCTACATGATAAAGTCATCACCACTATCAATGGAGTTAAAAATTTACAACCCCTGATTTTCATGAACAATTTCATGTTTGCTTATGTCCCTAAACCATCACAGCTATCCCACCATTTTTATAGTGTTTGAAATGTAGCTTACAGCTTTCTGTTACAGAAATTAACAAAAGCAAGTACATTAATCAAAAGCAGCTTTTGATAACAAACCCCTTACAGTTCTCAACTTGAGAGAGACTTTTATCATATATGAGTTGCTGTAGTCTGGAGGGAAAAAAACCCAAAAAACCCAAAAAACCCAAAAACAAAAGCAAGCCAAAACCAACCAACCAAAAAACCCCAACCAACCAACCAACCAACCAACCAACCAACCAACCAACCGCTAAAAGGCAATAAAATTTACTATTGACTAATGAGCACTGTGTAAATGGCAAAAAAATGCTTCTTAACTGTAGCTCCATACTTTAAATTTCATTTAACATCGTTTAGTAATTTAAAAGTAATCCCAGAGTCAAGACAAGGCTCAAGACAGCCATTGCAGTGTCTAGGGCTCAAGTCATGCTCTGAAGTAATGCCTAATGCAGATTCATTAGAAATAAATAATTTCACAAGAGGTACAATCTGAAGGGTTTTAATTAAAAAATCAGTCTTCTTAAAAAGAGTTTAAGCTTTACCTTCCTTATATTACTGTGGAACTACATGAAATACATTCCTATAGGTACAAATCCCATTAGCTCCAGAATGCAATGACTTATTAAAAATTATTATCATCAGTGTCTCATTAGAGAGATGGAATTTGTTTTTCCTTTGTTGCAAACTTGTATTCCAACTGGAAGCGACATATGCAGGTCTTCTGTTTTTAAAATAATGGGGCAAATCTGTACTTTCATTAATATAGGACAATAATTCAGATAAAAACTATGTTCATTTACCTTGTGCCTCTTTCTTGCAGCTGACTTCATTCTGAAAGGAGATACAAAATATAAGAATCAGAAATAATTGAAAGGAAATTTATTTAGTTCATTCTCTTGCCCAAAGACAAGATCTAAACTGCCCACAGTACCTGTCCTTAAATATTCAGTGATAAAGATACTAAAATCTATCCAGGCCATCTACTTCAGTATTTAAATTATCAAATTGTGAAAATACTGCCTTTACTTTTCTGAACTTTTCCTCTAATGCTTAACATAAATCTTTCTTCCTGCAATCTGAGCTCTGATTTTTGGCTCAGAACGAACACTTGTGTTTGCCTTCCCATTTTCAGATACGCTTTACATATATGAACACTAGCCATCCCACCTTTGGTTGTACAGCCAGAATATTTTGTTCATTCATATTTTTGTCAAGTTCATTTTGTTCAAGTTATCATGTTTTCCAACAGCTTGCTCTTTCTGTATCATGTTTTGCAGCATATTTTTCTCTGCCGATTCTCAAGTTCTCCAAACTCTAATGATTCAATTCATCAAAACTGAAAAAAATCCACTGCATTTTAGTCTTTTTCAGTTTCAAACACAGTGGACATACTACTTCATATATCTTACTCAAGATACTTTTATTTAAACATCTAAACATTGTGCTTGATTATTGAATTGTAGTATGATATTTCTGAAGATATTCAGGATAGCTACGAATACTCTCTTATCCTTCTTTGCAAATCTGTCATTTGATGTCCTATGTTTTTTGTTTTATTATTCCAAGCTTCTTCACTTTGAAATATTTCTGTCTTTGATGTTGTTAGTATTTTTTTCTAAGGATCTGCTGGCACCCTGAGAGTTTTTTTCCATTATGATCCTTTACTGTGGGATTTTTTTACTAATGGTATTTTTGTTTTCATCCTAGAAATCATGAGTTCTATAATTTCATTACCACAATCATCATGTTGCTTTTAATCTTCAAATTCTCCCAGAACTCTATACTGACTCTTCAATGTCTGATGCATTTCTGCTTGTTTTCCTTCTTAAGGTTTAAATAACAAATGTGGTCAACACATTCCAAGACCTTGCTAATATTTGGCATATTGCTATATGCTGTATTTCTACCAAAGTTCAGCCTAGTTTGAAATTTCATCTGCCTCGTAACCTTTGCCTAATGTTTCATTCTGACTGACCACGAAAGCACCTTTGTGATTTTTCTCTTTATCACCACTATGGACTTTACAGATTCTGCCATTCAGAGCAAGCTTCTGTGCCTCAATATAAGGAATAATATCTTACTCCTCTTCTTTGCCTGTGATTCCTAATAAGGTTTCATATTCTATATTCATATTTGAATAATAAGACTTAACTACTGTTACGCCAGATTATTTTTATCTGCTTAATTTGTTTTTGTTCTCACTTCACAAATGGATGTATTATTAATGGGGTTTCCCAACAATGTAGTATGACAGCATGGTTTTTAAACCCAGTGAATGCATAGCACTAAAACAAATCATCCATATTAAAAATTAATAATATTAAGGGTAATAGAACTTTTCTATAATTAGAAAGTATCTGATGCAAATTTTAGGTGCAAAATTTTTCAGCAGCAAAATAATGCTGAGTTGTCCAGCTGTGTTAATATAATTATTACTCTATCACCAAATACTTACCCCAGTGTCAAAGTGCATTTATATTATTGTATCGTTAGTGTCTTAGGAAAGAATATTTTTAATTGGTTTATATACCTGTACTTTTAAATTATACTAGAAAAAAAATAATGGATATCTGGTACAACTATAAAGGTTTACTTACATTTTCATTAAATTTTTCTCAAGATCATTTACAGCTGAACAAGAAAACCTTTAAGTCCATTGTTCCTTTTTGAGGATCCATATAATTCCTGTCTTAGTAAGACATTTAAATACTATAATTTAAGTGTATTTTCTGGAAAGTGCATCTTAATTTGAATATTATTCTAATGTGTTGTGTATTTTATTGTATTTATTTTTATGTCTTGTTCAATTAATCATTTGTGAACATTTTAGGAGATAAATAATATGATTTGGCAATAATAGCACATTACATCTGTTATGTCTGATGCAATAGCTACTCAGAATCAGAATAAGGAAACTTAGAAAACTTAAACAGTTGCAGAACTATGAGCAAGAGTTTTCTTTGAAAACCCACATTTCAAGCCACAAAATTCCCTAGCAGGATATACACTTAGGTAGTGAAACAGAAAATAAAGCAGTATGTTATTATTTATTAGGCTCTTTTGTTTATCAGATAGAGAGAAATCACATTGTCTATAGTAGCTACTAAGGTGTACAATTTTCAAATAGGCTTTTGCCTGAGTAAAAGACATAACACATTTTTCTTTCTTATTCTGAGGGCTGTTCACGACTGCAGACATGCAATATGCAAATTAAACTTTTTTACTCCAGCTGAAGTTATACTTTGCCCACTGAGTGATTTGTCTTTGCAAGAGAGAAACCATTATTTGCACCACTAACCTTCCTTGAGACTTTGCTGCGGGAAGTTTTCCTCACCATTTTTATATGATTACCTAAGAGTGTAGGTATGAAAACCACCCTAGATAGAAACTCATCTGGGTATGTCTGGGCCATGGACCTTGTATTTGCAGTCTTACCCATTTTGGGCACAGTACAGGCCCTAAATGATGCTTAAAGACTGATGCTGTAAACTGTTTTCATCCTTTTCTGCGAAACTATCTATTATCAGAATGAATCTGCTCTAAATTGTATTAGCATAAACTGACACAATTTAAAAGTGCATATGTATCCTAAAATAGTTTATTTGGAAGATTTTGTACTATTGAAAAAATAGTGAATAGTAAAGTAACTGCTGGTGCACTAGAACAATCTGCAGAAATAAGATTGGTCTACTAACATGTATAGATTTGTTCTCCAAAATCAAAATAATAACTTGTTAAATGTATTTACTTAGATTTTTTTTTTCTTTAATATCTGTATGTGGAGCTTAAAGGCTCAGGGAAATCAGATCCTCTCACCAGTTCAAAAAATAATAGGAAAGCAAAATACTCTCCATTTTAAGGAGAAGTAAGATAAAAAAAAAAAGGACAAATAACATAACAAAATAAACATTAAACTCAGCTGTTCACTTATTCTACTCTTCCATTATTTCCCATTCAGTCCTTCCTCTCTTGGCTGTTTATTTAAACTGTAAGCTATTTAGGGTGAAGGGGTTGTTTTCTGACTCATTGTCAATAGAGACTGGCATTCTGTACTAAGCAAGTATTATAAACAACAACATGTATATTCTCTTTCATACAAACACAACAGATTTTTTAACAATCAAGAGTAAGGCTTAGAAAACAGACCCTACACCTCAGAGTAGATAACTGGAAAGTAGCTGGGAATATCTGGGAGCTGGATCCCTGGAGTTAAAGCAGAGAAGTTGGCAGTGCCAACAGCAGCAAGAAGCATTGAATAGACAGAAGGGAAACTTCTGTTAAAGCACTGGAAGGGGTTGAAAATGAGACAGGGACTGAACTACTCTAGTGTGAATACAGCTCTCATTCAACAGAGCTGAAGCTTTCTAACTAGGAATCTCACATTATATAGCTTCCAAGTGGTTGAAATTGCCCAAGTCAAAATGCTGCTGGAAAAAAAATTCCAAGCTTTGCACCGACACTGTTCAACAGGTAACAGTGACTGGGTCTGAAAGAAGATATTTCCCTTTCTCAGTGGTCAGTTAAGCAACATCACAGAGAAAGTACAACACAGTTATTTTACAGACAGCTCTATCTTTATTCTAATCTATTTCTTTATTTTAAATGGAAAAACTTACTTTTTCAAGGCTAACCAAAAGTACTAGTAAATACTGTTTGGGTTTCAAAATGGAAATAAACAATATGTGTGTTTATCATTGAGGACACAATATAATAAGTAGATTATCAGATTCTGTTAACTGAGTAAGAAAATTATGTGTGAAATTGCATGTAATGAGTCTACTTAAGAGGGAAATATGATAGGGAGGTTAATTCATTTGTCCAGATAGCTAGATATAAAACAGAATAGACACTAAATGAGAAAAATTAATTAATTTTAATTACGGAATTTGTAACAATACATTTTAAAAATACAATGCACATTTGCCCATCTTAAAGATGGGGACTCAAATCACATTACAGAAGACCATAAACTAGATTTTAGTCCTGAGTCACAGTATTCTTATTTATTATGATACGTAACAACAATTCTACATATCACCATGATTAGTAAATTAGATTCTAAATGCCTTTCACTAAGTCTTGCTCCTCAGCACTTTTCTGTACAAATTTTGCATAAAGTCATTACTTTTGTCACTTTACTTGAATTGATATTACCTGTTTATTTCAAGATAAAATTCTAAATATTTTTTCTTTTTCTCAGCTGTAAAACTCCCGTACCTCCTGTATAAAAACAAAACTACCATGAAATAAAATTACCATTATAAAATTTTTCCCAGTATACCTGGAACTACAGCCTAGAAAGCCTGATGTTCACTGCAGGCAAATGGGTAAAAATGATACTGAAACATGCAAATAATGGACATATGGATAAATAGTAGTAAAGAGGGAAGCATGAACTTGGCTTTCTGGAGTCAAATAATTTTTCACAAATCTCTTGGACCTCTCTAGACCACTCCTCATTTTTCTATTACATGTAATCTTCATGGATCCAATTCTTAATACACAGAATGCTCTGTACAATTTCTTAAATTTCACTAAAAATATTTTCAAATATCAGTTAACTCCTGCCACAAACAAATCTGGCAGAAGGTGATAAATAAATAAAAAGTGAAAATTAAAAGGTGTAAAAATCATTTATTTGCTAAACACTAATAACTTTCTATACTAACTACTCTTTTAATGCTGTTGCTTTACTATTTCTTTAACCTACTGGCTCTACGGTTTATGTTCCTTTTATTTTACTTTGCTAAATCTCTCCATTTCATATGTGGAAATCTGATGTCTAAGACTGTGGTTCCAAAAATCCTTTAATTCAGAAAGAGAACTCTGAAACATTATTTTTTTCTGGTTTTCATGGATGTGTCTAGATGTCTTTTCAATTATTCTTCCTCAAATGCAACAGTACAGTAATCAATAAAGATAGAAACTGGATGAGAAGCAGAAATTATTATAAGAATCAGGTAGAACATTAGAAAAAATGTGTTAAAATATACATATTCCCAGACTAAAAAGATGGGCACAATAATTTTGTGATAGCTTATATCCAAGCACTTGTATCACTCAAGCTGAGAGGAAAAATTAAATTATATGTAGAAATTCCAGCAAATACCTGCCACAACCTCAATGAAATATCTCCAAGTGATTTTTGTGCTATTTGTTTATTTTTCATCCACCAGTGCAATTCTATTGGTGTTTCTAACAGTGGAAGCTACAGGACAGGGAGGACATATTACCACTATGTCATCTGATCCTACTCAGGGCAATAACAGTAGAGAAAAATGATCACAGATTTCTCAAGAAAAATACTTTTTACTACCTGTAAAGATGACCTAATTATCAATGTTGTGAAAAGAACATTTGAACTATCACAAGAGATACAGTAAGACAGGATGAGTGACAACATCAAGGTGTCTGTCAAGAAGGTAAGAAGGAAAAGGTATGGTTCAGCCAAGGTGTTTTGGTAGCAAATATTAGTAATCGTACTGACAACAAAAAAATCGTAGTGGAAAATCTCTTCTTTCCTACGATGTCTTACTTTCTGCTTATTTCTAATAGCAAAAACTTGTACCAGGGTGTTTTCACAACTTAGTATTTCAGAAATTAAAACTGGATGCTGACAAGGAAAATTGCAATGGCAAATTTAAATTTTTCAGTGTAGGGAGTGAAGTTATTTTTTGATTTGCTAAACTACTCTAAGCAATTTCTTAGCCTCTCACTAATGATTAACAAACAAAGGCTTTCCAAATTAACTTTATTATTCAATGTTCCTATTTTCCATTTGCTGTACTTTCATGGTTGCAGTTTGCATCTCAGATAACTCCCACCTTTTTAGAAGAATCAGGCCTGGAGAGTAAGCACTGAGATAATATGCAGAGAATCAGAGAAAGAAACATTGAAACCACTGGGGAGCAAGAACTGTGGAGGAATTCTTTTGCAACTGGTCTACATTCATAAAATTGCTCATCTGAGGACAATTCTACCCACTTATTTTAAAAAACTCTAAGTTTCACAGAGAAAGAATTGTGAGACTTTTAACTGCTACCAGTTACATTTCATATGCACCATTATTTTCCCATAGCCCTTACTATTCAGTTGCCTAAAGTTTATATCATGTATTTTTTATACAGCTACCTGTATTTCTAATCCACAGCTTCAACTTCTGCTGCTGTCTTTACAAATGAAAAACAGTTTGACAGATATCACTCTGATATAATTAAGATCTTCCATAGAATCATTCATGCCATATGGATTGATAGATTGCTGTGTGCTGAATTAAACCATTCTTTTTGAGTTAGATAAAAGACTATCTAACTCACACCATTTAGAATGTCAAATTTCTGAAACAGATATTCCTCCAAAGTGTCCTAATAAGTTTTGCACATTCATTGTGTAACTTGAATACTTCCTCTTTCTTTGTAAAGTTCAACATTCTTTAAAATCTTTCCAGAGTCTTCGCTTTTACAAAACAAGGAAGAAGTTTGTTTGAAAGTACTTTCAAGAGAGTATTCACGAGTGGGAATGTGAACCCGCGGGAGGTGAACCTGCTACCCTAAAAACAAGGAAGCCAGAGCTGCTCCTGTATCACCATCTAGTGGGGAAGAACTGTTCTGCCCATAAGAAAGCCGAGCTCTATGAGTGTGAGAGCAGATTCCTGACTGAACTTCAAGTGATGAATTGCCCACTAACTGCTTAATCTAAATTTTTATGCCCAGTGATCAACTGACTTGTTGTTGTTATTTTGCAAAATGGGTTTTCCTTCTCCTTTCACTTTTGAAAACCATGTTTGCAGTCATACACATGTGTGCTTTCTAGATTAGATAGCCAGGCCTGATGTTGAAACATAAACTGAAAGTGTAAAACACTTTTCAGACAAGAAGTTATGCAGCTGCAATAAATTTAAATATTCTAATGTCTAGTATGTTAAAGGAAAATATGATATCAATATACACGATTTGTCAGATACCAGCGCAAGTAACTCACCTTGCTTGGCTTAAGCAGACAAGGAATTCAAATTTGTGGATCCATTCATATCACTTGGGAGGCTTCTAGAAAATGTTCTCGTGCACTCGTGCAACTTGCAGAAGTTTCCCTGCCAGAACTCCTGCCACATGTTCCTTGCTACCAACACAGGCCATATAATTAATAACTTGGATTAACTTTAATAAACTGGAATAAAATTACCAATCTCCTACTGCATTTACTCTAAGCTATATTCTTTCCCTTCTTCCTAAAAAATGTAAATGGCTCTTGCCACACAGTTCAGTATGGTTCAGACCATTAACCTGCGAGAATCAGAGAATAAAAGAGAAAGGAAAGAAAAATAATGGTTCTGAAAAGGAATATTTTTTGGAATTTTTTTCCAAAGATGGAAGACACAGAAAGGAAAACATTTAATTGTAGGCATTAACATCAGTGTAAACACCACAGGGATCCAGTATTGTGATCCTAGGAGATAATGTGAGGAAGGTAAATGGAGTTTCTAGTATTTAATATGGCAATAGACTGAAGAGACTAAGAATTGAGAAGATGCTAGGGCTTTTTACATGCTTTTATTTTGTTTTACAAAAACTTTCTGAGGGATTGAATCGCCACTTGAAGTTATGGAGAAGCAGGAACAGAGAAACAAAGAATCGTAAAAAAAAAAAAAAAAGACAAACCCCAGAAATTTCAGCTAAATTACCCTTTGCATTACATTATTTTAAAAAGCAAGTACAAAATTTACAATTTTCCTTTACTCCCTCAGCAGCTGCATTTGGAAAGAGTGTATGTCAAAAACCATCTTACTTTAGACATTTAAGTGCTTAAATTGGGAAAAGCAGGTTGGGATCCCAGCTCTCAGGGTCAGGACACCTCCAAGTCTCCAGTTACTGCTGAAGAGTTTCTGGGAGGTGACTGGTGGGAAAGATGTGTACTAATGTCTTTACAAACAATTCTACGGGTGAAGGAATGGGTGTTAATGTCTTTGAAATGGGTCTTAGTATCTCCACTGACATCAAGCCGCAAGTTTGTTACAGAGCCCAGACAGCCTGACTCCTGAAAAAGGCAAGGGTCTGCACAAGCCTCAACTCTCAACTTTGGGACAAAATGACAGGTTCAATTGGGGATATGTGTTGGGCGGTTCGGAAAGGCTGTACTTTCTTCGTAACTCAGCCAGCGGGGAAAGGAAGAGGGCAACGTGCGGTCGGGAGTTTAGGATAAACGGGTAAGAGGAGGCTGCATCCTCCAAAGCCTCGAGAGAGAAAACCCCGTGGGCGTGTGCCCCAGTGGACACTGTCCCATCACATGAGTAAAGCTGCAGGACTCCTCCGACTCCTTTATGGACACTTGCTTTTCACAGCGTGATTTTCCGTACACGACTGAGCCCACCTGAGGAAAGCATCCGCTCCGGCTGAGCAAGGACAATGCTCCGTCTGCAGGGACGAGGAGATTGCTCGCCTGGCGGACAGCTAGGTGCCGTCTATACTGGATCTACAAAATTCTCCACTGGGAATCATAAAACAAACCAGCAAACAAACAAAAAAGGCAACAACACACACCCCCCCTAGTTTAACCAATCACTATTGAAACATTGTCACACGTTTCCACAACACTACGAAGACATATTGGATGACTTTATCAGATTTATGATATTTAAGCCGTTTTGCGGGTGGGTGGTCGCTGCCTCGCTGCAGACCGACTACCCTTACCTGCCCGCGGTGCTCCAGCGCAGCAGGCCCCGAGGCAGGATCCCACCGCGCCTCCGTCAGGCAGATTCTTTGGGATCGGCAGGAAAGGGGTTAAACGCCGGAGCCCCGGCGCCTGAAACCCGGTGGACTGTTCCATTACTTCGAGAGGGGGAACCCACTTACACATTGCTAATTATTCTCTATCAGATGATGTGAAGACTAGAAAAAAAACTATAAGCTGGCGTTATAAAGCATGAGAAGCAGGTCTGTGAGTTAAAACAGGTGAACCTAAGGTAAAATCCTGAGGGCACCTCTTTCTTTTCTCCTGCGTGGGCAAATTGCACTCAGCCCGGTCTGAGGGAGGAGGCGAGGCGGCACCCTGGTAGCGTGTTTGGGGCTCGCCGGGCGCTTTAGGAGTTTAGATACACTTTAATTTCTCTTTTCAGCATCCCTAGAGGTTTCCTCTTCGCTAGATGCTTATAACAAGCCTTGTTTGCCTAAGCGGGACTGGGAGGAGAGAAGGAAGGGAGGGCAGGGTAGCGGTGTCGGCAGGAGGATTCTGAGGTGACAAAGGCGCGGGAAGCGGCCGGGGCAGCCCGGGTGCTGCACGGTCAGGGGGTCAGTGGCTTTCTTTAGTTCAAATAATGATAGAATCGGTCGCGCCGAGCCCAGTGGAAGAGGTGTGACAAACAGGTTTGGGAGTCCTGAGCATAAACGCGAGTAACTCGGCCGGAATTCACAGGAGGTGTTGGAAAGCCGGGGTTAAGATCCGCCCCAGGCGGTTCGGGACAGGCGGAAGGCGTCCTCAGACATCTGCTCACACCAGTGAGCAGTTTCTGAGTGTGAGATGTCTGTGTTCTGTAGGGTCTATTTAATGTCAGTACAGGGAAAAAAAAAAGAAAAAAAAAACAAACGAAAAAACAAACCAAAAAAGGGCTTTTTTTTTTTTTTTTTTTGCTATTAATGGTAAGAATTAAGAAAGCGAGGAACTGTGTTCTTAGCTCTGCGCCTTGACAGGAGGAAACTGAGCGTGAGTCTTATGAAGGAACTGGTTTAAGAGCAGCTATTAATGATAGAGAGTTTTCCATCATACTAAAAATATTTCTGTGGAATCATAAGCATGGGCAGTGCTTCCCAGGCAACTATAAAATGCCAAGCCCATTCCTTTGAGAAACTCTGAAACTTAAAAGCAGCTCAAAACCACACAGTATTAACAAATTTAGAGCTTACAATGAGGGAATAGGAGGGGCATTGTCTTTGAGAAGCCAAGTTAATTTTTGTAACATATTTTCTTCTGTATTATTTGTAAGAATATTTCTTGTCTGCCTAATTATTCTTCAGTACCAGCTGAGCAGTATAGTTTCAATAATAGTGTAGCGTAGTATAGCTGGAGAATCCACAAATTTCAGAGAAACGTATGGGAGATTAAACTACTTTATAACCTGGGTCCCTCTGGGGTGCAACAATGAAACAGCACTAGGAAGTGTGCTTTAATCATTATTCCTGCACTGGATTTTTTTCTGTGGCTAAATAAGGATCTAAGTGCACTAGACTAGCAATCCAGAACCTTTCCTGAGCTCTACATTACCAAAAATAGTATTTAATTTAGAAGTTGCAATATGTTTTTGCAATCAAAGGGAAGTATATGCTGGAGAAAACCTATTGGATTAATAGTACTGTAAATGTTTGCTTGGCACATAGAGAGTTCTAAGAGCTTATCCTTTAAATTTCTGCAGATGGGGACCCCCTCCCCCCCCATATTCTTTGGGGCAATAATTAAATATTATTCTACAGCTACCTTAACATGTAGTTGTATTCCTATAGCCAGGTTATTACACCTCTATAACTTCCCTGAAATTACATGTGAAATTTTCTATTTCAGGCATTTTGACAGCAGTAAATAGCATTTTGAATGAAATTTTTGGGAACTGGACAAATTTTATGTATTACATGTGAAGAACACCAGCCATAAAGAAGTCTCATATAGACATCTCTGAACTGCTTTTAGAAGAGGGTAAAGCTGGTAGAGGCCTGGTAAGAAAATCTTCATTTAAATATACACAATTTTATTGTTGGGAGGGAAGATTATTAAAGGAGTGAGAAGGAGGAAGAAGGTGTAACTGCTAAAGTTAATCAGTTCGGTAGATCTTGAATGTTCAGCTGTTACATAGTTTTATACTAGATAACACCATGAAGGTGGCAGGAATTATGTCTAACACAGTGTCCATCGTAATGAAACAAAGCCTCACAGCCAGGCTATCACACATGTATGAAGTGACTGGCACTCCTTCCCCCATAGGCCATGCTATAGTTTTGAGTTAATCATCAACAATAAAGGAATACTAAGGATTTTTTCTCACTTTTCAAGTTCTGTATGATATTTATGAGAAGATATAAAAAATAAGGAGATGATAAGGATATCATGACTAACTGTAAAATAAAATATATTTTCCATTCAAAATTCAGATAGACTAGAAAAAACTGCATTTACCTTTATAAATCTTGTTTTTAAAACCAAAACAAATTCCCTAAATGTCTATCACTATTTTTTTACGTAATCAATTTTTCATGAAATTTAATTCTTAAGGAAAGCTCAGATATGGGTAACATCTCTACTTGGCATGCCCCTAGGCTGGACAGTCAGCTGCAGTACTTCTGAAGATTATGAAGCAACATCCAAGTTTAGCAATATGCAAAGTTGTTCACAGACAATCATCAACACACCAGAACATTTATTTTTTAAATAATAATTTTTAAAAATTGCACTGACTAGTCTAAATGAAACTTGGTGTGAAAAAAATTTTAAAAAGGAAATATCATATTTTCAGGTTTGCATATATAGAACAATTTTTGTGACAGTTTTCATGTAAGTACTTTTTGTGCTATCCTATAATTTAAACAGAAATATATAGCATGGCTTTTGCAAATAATCACTTTACCAGGAGATTATCCCTTATTTAACTGAACTTTTTATCCAAACATTATTCAATCACAAATTCCTTTTCTACAGTATTAAAATGGCTTACCCACCAAAGTCAGTTTTTCATTCACTTTCTGCTCATAGTGCATTCTTCTTTTGCCTCTCTGGGCATTTGGCTAATCTATAAACACGATTTATAAAAAAAAAAAAAAAAAAAAAAAATTTAAACCCAGAAAGATCATTTTTTATAGACACATCCTGTTTTTAAGCCGGTGATTTCTTAAGTGAAGCAGACAAAGATTCACATCATGGATTATTTTAACAATGAAGAAAAATAAAAATAGGAAAATAAAGAAAGTAAAGGCTTTTGTATGCTACCTCTAACCTTTAGAATCATGTAAGAAGGAAACAATCTAAAACATTAGGGAAAACACAGCCTAATGGCAGAAAAAGGATAAACATTGCCTAAGGAAATGCAGGAGGAAAAAAG